TAAAGTTCAAGAAAAGATGGTTTGCGGACCAAAAAAACTGTCTTTTCTTCAATTCCTGTATTTTTTCATATTGCAGTGGAAGAAATAATCGCAATGTCAGTTTTTTCCAATATCGTGCAGCCCTAGTCGGGAGGCGCATTTTCATTTGAGGTTTGTCGGGAAAGAGATGGCTGTTTGAGGAAGCTCCCATTTATTAACATTTCAACAAACAAGTTGCATATTTGCATAACGTATTCAAGTGTTACCATTTAGTGCAATAGTAGCTACAGAACATGTCCTGTGCTGTGTAAACTGTACTGTATCACATAGCGTTTCATACACACAAACTTTTCAACTTTCAAACTTAAACGGTGCGCTCCCAGCGCACGTACCGGCAGTGATCTACAGCAGTGGTTTTCAACCAGTGGTACGGGGACAAACTGTCTCGCTCTCGTAATGTCTGTCTGTCTTGCTCTCGTTCTGTCTCTCGTACCACTCTCGGTTCCACTTTTACTTTTGCGCGCTACCTGTCTCACTCTTTTCCGGCCTCCAGCTTTTCCTGCTGGAGCCCGCCGCTTAAAGGTCCGGGGCGCGGACCGGCCATAGAGCCCATAGAGTTAAAGGTGGTGGACTGTAACCTGTAAAATCCATAGATTTAGGAGGTCCCCTAGTGGCCGTTAGCTGTAAAAATCCATAGATTAGCCGCACCGTTATATAAGCCGCAGCGTCGAAAAATGGGGGAAAAAGGCGCGGCTTATAGTCCGAAAATTACGTTCCTTTATTAATCCCCAACGAGGAAATTAACTTTGTTCACTCTGGTGTTACACACATTTCTGGGTACACACATTACACAAACAGAGTTGTTATACAGCTAGTTAATGTTAACTGTTACAAGCTTTTTTCTAAAAAGGTTCCATAGAGTTGCAGTATAGTGAATTCAAGCTGTATTCAGTAAAAATGTATTGGCATCAAGAATTGAGTCATCACGTTATCAAACCGGGCTTGGATTATTTAAAAAAAAAAAAAAAAAAAGTTACATTGCATAGTCATAGGGAATATTTTTTAAATGTTCACACAAATTGTGCTCCAGTAGTTTGTTGATTTTTATTTTTTTCTTATCCCCCTTAGGTGCTGATACATCATGGGAAACCAGAGGGATGAACGTTCAGCTCGCAAGGACATCTTCAAAACCAGCCTGTTGAGAGAGTGGACACACTGATTCGCACATGAAAACCAATATGTGAATGTCTGGATAACGTTTTACTCATACTTGCTCATTGAAAAGGGATGCCATCACGGATCATCATGGAAAAGCAGAAATCAGTGAATGCTGCTACTTCATCAAAATTGATCGGAGAATCCTGTACCTTTATCTGCACAGAATGTGGTGATGGGTTCAGTCAGTACTCTTATCTATTGAGCCACATGACCATTCATGGACCTCTAGAGTCATTTTCCTTTGATGGCTCATCAAATGGATTTGAAGTCCCTCGGGAATATGTGCTGCAAGAAAATGGTACACTAACAGTTGTGAACGGCTTGGAGTCACAATCTTCTGTAAAACCAGTATCTTCTGGAGTCCTGCCATCTCATTTCCCATCCGCCATCAAACGCATGTCTCCAACTCTGAAGCCACAGCATTCTCCTTATAATAGAGATGTGTTCGGGCCAAGGCCATCTGACTTGAACCTAGACAAGTCCCGCCAGGGGCATTACCGTTGTGAAATATGTAGCAGATCATTTAACAGCCTGCAGAGTTTGCATCGTCACCAGCAGTATCGAAACACAGAGCGAGGTTATAAGTGTACTCTGTGTTGTAAGATCTTTGAAGGTAGACAGGACCTTAAGAAACACCTCCAAGACCATGTCAAAGAAAGATTTCATTGCTGTAGTCATTGTGGTAAGCGATTCCTTCAAATAGATGCACTAAATGCTCATCACAAAGAAAATCACCTCCCCAAGGCTACAGCTTTGGATGGATGTGTGATTAGGCAGGAGAATAATCTGGAGAAATCATATCCTTGCAGGAAGTGCAAGTTGAATTTTTTCTGGATGTCAGATTTTCAGACTCATTCACTGCATCATTGCAAAGGAAAAGAGCCTGAAGAACCATTAGCATCCGAAATTGAAGTGAAGTCTAAGAACATAGAAGACACACCACCTAGAAATGTCTACAGTAATGGGACATCTGTTGGTGTAAATATTGGAGATAGTAAAATCTTTAGGGATACTAGCAATAAGATTGTTGCTGATTTCTCTCCAACACCATACAGATGCGGTTTGTGTGGTGATCGTTTCCAAAGGTTAACATCTCTAAAGGAACATCATCGCACACATCAAACTCAGGAGGAAATAGATAAGCTGAATCAAGAATCAGAGAAAACAATTCGGCGAAGAATGCCGCCTAAAGGCCGACGTAGAAGGACGAGTAATCCAAATGGCAAGCTGCATCCTTGCAAGCAGTGTCAACGTGTTTTCAACCATTCTAGCAGTTTATCTCGGCACATGAGATACCATAAGGGTACAATGCACACATGTGTATTTTGTGGTAGACATTTCCCACAGCGCTGTGATTTAAGAAGGCATCTAGCCATGTATCACAAAGCAGAATCGGAAAAGAAACCAGGTTTGAAACACTTGTACACAAATCCCAAAAATGGGCCAGACACCAGTCCTTTCAATGGTGAAACATACGCAGACTCTACTGATGAGAAAACCAAGAGCTCCTCTGACAATGAACAAATGTCATCACTAGAGCAGCAATCAAAGAGCAAACAATCAGGAAAAGCTGGCCGAGTTAACTACAAGTGCCAAGAATGTGGAAAGAGATTTGGGCTGCTATGTGTATACCAACGGCACTTGCGCTATCACAAAAAGGAACCTAGTAAGTCCCAGAGGCATCCAGCTCAAGTCAGGAACACTTTGTCCCTTGAGCTTCAGCTTGAGAATCACCCAAGCTCTGGAGGTGCAAATGATGTTGAACAAACATCTTACAGCAGAAGGGACGCTGTTTTAGAAAAGGGGAATGCAGATGACATAGAGGATGACTGTATGGACCATACTCAAAATGACAAAGGAAATTCCTCAGAGGTCCTTTACGAATGTACTGAATGCACCGAGACATTCTCATGCCTGGACACATTCCTTCAGCACCAGACTTCTCATGGCTCAGAAAACGGGTAATTATCGTGTCAACCCCAATCGTAACTGTAATTGCCAACAACCAAGCTCTCGGGAGTTGTCTTTTTTACTCTTTTGAATACAAGTATTTCAATAACTGTATGATGTAAAGTTTGTTACATTTTTTTTTGACGAACTACTTTAATACATTTTTCTTTGGCATGACAAGAAACATCTGTTAATAAGGAAATATCAGAAATCATGGCTTGGGTGGGAAGCATACCAAATTAATGTGAAAAAAAAACAAAAAAACTAGTGCAGTCCCACCAATTGCCCCCTAGCAAGGACAAGGACAAGTACATTGCTACATTGTATTTTTAGTGGCAAATTATGCTGTCCTTGTCAATCATATTGCTGAATTATTTTTATTATTTCTTGAGATTGTCTTAAATATGTGATATGAATATGTCTTCCTTTTGAAAAGGTAGCATTGCTACCCGGTGGATTTTTACTGGTGCCATTAAAGTTGTACAGAGAAATTACTTAAAGTACAGTTTTGCTTTGACTCCCTTTTTGCTGCTATCTGGGGGTTGGAAGCCCCATTGACTATATGTGTGGTCCTTTTTAAGTGTAATATAGGTGTCCTATTGCGTTCACATTGTAGAATAGCAAATGATTTGCAATTGCACAGATATATTTATTTTTCCATAAAGTGTATTACATGAATTGTTAGCTGGTTAAACATAATAACTAGGGGCAATTGAGGACACATGCTTTGTGGATTTCGAAAAGCCTTTTCTAGTTTGAGACTTTCAAGTGCTTGCCTGTCTGAAATCAACCTTATGTGGAGCAATACAGCATTTTCTGATCGAGAAACCATTTTACGTCACCATCAGGCCCGCCCCTACACGAAGATCACGCAGACTGTGTGGGGCCTCACCTCGCGGAGGGGTCCTCACCTCGCGGAGGGGTCCTCACCTCGCGGAGGGGTCCTCACCTCACGGAGGGGTCCTCACCTCACGGAGGGAGCCTCATCTTGCGGAGGGAGCCTCATCTTGCGGAGGGAGCCTCATCTGAAACGCAAATGCGCCCCAATTAGGCGCGCCGCAGTTCATGTGCGTGCATTGCGTCGTCGACATTTTTCACAGAGGGCCTCGTCACATAACTTTGCGAGGGGCCACAAGTTGGCCCTGGTCGCCATTATACTGCGCTGTGGTATTAACGTTGCAACAGAAGCCTAGCTTTGTGTCTTTAATTAAGCATAGACATCATTTTTGTTATTAGCAGCTCTATACATTTTAAATATATTAAATCAGCTGGTTATAGTGTGGCAAAGTTGTCAAATGCATTTCATTATGATAGGTCTATAGCAGTAAGTAAAACACATGTAATAGTGGTCCTTACCCCTGGACCATTCAGTTATTTAAATGAGTATCTTTGCATATATATAAGAGGAGAACATCCTGTATCAATTCTCCAACAATTCTGATGCTGCACCAGCAAAATTATTCTTGCAACTATAGGTTATGCTTGTCTGCTAGATGTCTTTTCTTCCTTGCACAATGACTACTCCTGCCCTAGGACAAAAAGAAAGTACTGTTTTAAGAAAAGGTGCTGTGAAGCAAGAGTATTTTACATTAAAACCTCTTTCCCTATTTCAACAAGCACTGTGGCCTCATTGACCTCCATTTGCTGAAAACATTCATGTTTTTCTGATACCTCTTTATCATGTTACCAACTGTTACTTCCCAGATAACTTTTTTCCCTCTAGTGACCGGCCAGTAGGGGTGAAAAAACGCGTCATCTGCAGGAAACAGCGTCTGAGGGCATCTTAATATTCAATAAACTATGAATGTTTTATATCCATGTAACTGGAAGAAACTCAGCTAACTGATCTTTTTTTATTTTTCAAAAAAAAACACAAAGCTAATGCTCTGCCTCTGAATTAGCCACGAGCGAACGCATTACTGCACAGAAACTCACTCATAACACCCTTATTACTTATCATAGCTGCACGTCCAACCCATCAATTTGCATCGTGAGAAGACACAGAATCGATCGGTTCCTACATTATCACTCCATGATAAGAACTCACGAAGATATGAACAAGAACAGACATCAAAACATGTGGCGTTAGTTAGCTAAAAATGGCTTACCTTTGTCGTTGTCCGGTCAAAAGTTGTCTTAAAAGGCATTAAAACAATAAAAACGCTGCTGAAGGTTAATCCATAGGTTAATCCAATGTGTCCGTTTCCCTTTGAATGATTTCTGATAATCCATAAGCAATAAACCTGCTTTTCCGTTTCCAGGTGTCAGAGCGAGAGATAGGTTCGCTCTCATGCAAAACTGCGTGCGCATAGCTCTCATTTCTCAATGGTAAGGTATGTGTATGTGTTTCAGAGGTGGAGTTTTTCTTTTGCTAAACCTCTCTAAAAAGGTCAAATGTCACTTTTTTTGCATCAATCTTGATACAGGATACTTATTGTATGTTGTACTTTGGATTCCTAAAGCTTTTAGTCTACCTTACCATCATCCAAGGGTAGTTTTCTCTATAAGTAACTTGGAAGGACACTTTCATTTACAGTTTTTTACTATGTTCAATCTGAATTTTCTTTATTATTATTATAGAGAGAGAGAGACCGGTGCCAGCAGGGGCCGTGTTGTTTGCATCTGGTTAGCTAGCTGCACTAACGGACACAAGGAGCTCAGGTGAGCTAAATGACTCTCTGAGGGTTTAGATAGTTAACTTTAATCTAAGTTATCTCAGTGGGTCTCAAACGGTTTGGTCACAAATAATTCAAAAGATTATTTCCCGCGGCACACCTTCATATGATCATTATCGTTATAAAAAAACAAGAGAATAAAGGAAAAACAGTTATGAAATACTATATGGCAGTAAAACAAGAATACAGTTTGAAAGGGGAGTGATTTGTAAAATATCCATAAAGAAAAAGAACATCTGATTACAGTTGTGTTTCATATGGATGTTGACAGATGTATCCATAGATCTCTTAATGTTGCTCTCAAAGTGCACCAGATTGATGCTTTTAACTTCAATATTTAACAAAAATCTTCCCGGGGGAGCATCCCCCCGGACCCCCCTAGCGGAGGTGAGGTCCGTTCCCCACTCGTAAAAAATAGCACTTTACCCCCCTGCCTATATGCCGTGAGCTGATTATCCAGCCTTCATTGTAACAGTCGTGGGTGTACTGTGTGGGGAGTGCAGTCTATGGGGGAGTGTTGCAGTAGAACATTCCACTGTAGCGCCCCTGGTGCTCGCGCTTTTGTGTGTGCTCTATAGTCCCCGTAATAGTGTTCACTGGAGTCCAGCACCTCAGCACCCCCACTCAAAATACCTTCCCGCGGCTCTGCCTGCAACGGCAGTTTAAACTGTATTTCCTCCGTACACTGAGGTGCTTTCACTGTGTTGATCTCTTATCCTGGAACCTATCCTGCTCCGGAGCAGATTAGCCGCTCAGCGTAAGTTACCATGGAGATCTAGCCCGCTAAAAAAAGAACCAGCGTCGTAGGACCGGAAACCCCGAGTTTTCCCTGAAGTTAGCCCGCTAAGCAATCTGGCTTCGTAGTACAGGCCTCTGAAAAACAGGCTCAGTGCTTAACAGTTTAAGCTTCCTTGCCCTTTTAATCCCTAGCCAGGGGCGGACTGGCCATCGGGACGTTCGGGACAAATCCTGAAGGGCCGGTAGCCCGGTACCGAAGTGGGCCGGTCGGACCACTCGACGCGGCCCACTTCCCCACTCCGATCGGCCCACTTCGGTACAGGTGAAATTGGAATCAGCTTTATGCTTGGCCCATGTATACGAGTGAACGTGGATCGCTTTATTTAGTGATCGGATATGATCGGAAAAGCATTCCATGGAAACGGGCCTATTGATAGGTTGTCAAACTTGTCAATCTTATGTTTTCGAAAGTAGGCTAATAGATGAACTGAAGGGGTTGGGCCGGGAGGCGTCTATCGTTATTCCAACCCAGTTTCGATTTAACCACGCCCACTTCTGCATTACGCAAGAACGTAGCTTTAGCGTCGTAGACTTCATCTTCGGCAGTTATAGAGGTCGCGGTAAAGCAGGATATTGAATAGTTGTTTTTTGTCTTTCCAAAAGATTTGTTGACTGAAAGTAAACGATCCAGAGTCCTGAGATTGTATTACTGGTGTTTTATCATCTCAGCTGGTGTAAGTGCAGAATATTGAATATAACCTTGACCATTACTGTGTAGCCTACTTCATTTATCTGACAGCATTATTTAATGACACTATTTTATATATATATATATATATATATATATACACACATTTATTCATTTATAAACATATATATATATAAATACACTTATATGTACTCACACATGTATTTATTCATTTATACACACAGATGTATTCATTCATTTATACACACACTCTCAAATATACACTTTATATTAATTCATTTGTGTACACACACACACACACACACACACACATTCACACACTTACATACACACACACACACACACACACACACACACACACATATACAGTGGGGCAAAAAAGTATTTAGTCAGCCACCAATTGTGCAAGTTCTTCCACTTAAAAAGATGAGAGAGGCCTGTAATTTTCATCCTAGGTATACCTCAACTATGAGAGACATAATGAGAAAAAAAAATCCAGAAAATCACATTGTCTGATTTTTAAAGAATTTATTTGCAAATGATGGTGGAAATAAGTATTGGTTAATACAAAAGTTCATCTCAATACTTTGTTATATACCCTTTGTTGGCAATGACAGAGGTCAAACGTTTTCTGTAAGTCGTCACAAGATTTTCACACACTGTTGCTGGTATTTTTGGCCCATTC